ATTTCATTGACGGCCGACTTGACGACACACTCATAGTCGCCTGCATCCCGCATGGTGGTGTTGTGCACCGTCAACCTGTTCCAGTTGACAATCTGCGGATAATGCGGATGATATTAGATCGGTTTCAATACAGAGCAGGCAATATCAGTTCAGTCTTACAATGCGCTCAGTGCCGTCGTGGTTGTTCTTTAGAATCTCCCCATTGTGCTTCCAGACATAGGCAATGTCCAACAGCTCATCATAGGCGGCTTCGCAGTGAAGGTAGATCAGATCGTGTTCCTTGGAGACGATGCGCTGGGGTGGTGTTTGGATGAAGCGTATTTCCTCTGTAAATAGAAAATAGTTTTGTTTTCAACAGTTGCGCCACAGTTAGAGGCGCAGTTTTATCTTACGAAGCACAATGACGCGAGCATGGGACTCGTCTGTACCGGCCTGGTTTGAGGCACTGCAGGTGTACATGCCCTCATCGTCGCGAGAGGTGGGCGATATGATCAATGTGCCGCTGGGCAAGATGCGACGATGTCCACCCGAGCCCAGGAGCTGACCGTCTTTTTTCCACTGGAACTTTGGTCGCGGAGCTGCTTCGGGGTCGCAGACGATCGTTGTGTTGCCGTTATAAACGGCATAGATCTCGGACTCGAGTGGGTGCTTTTTGAAGGATGGCTTCATGGAGAGCACTCGCAACTGGGCCGAGGAGAATGAGGTCTTCAGCTGGTTCTGGGCTCCACACTGATACATGCCCTCATCCTTCTCCCTCTCCAGAAATTTGATGGTCAACACATTATCCTGGATCACATACCGATCCCGATTAATGGTCAGCGGGTCGAGGCGCTCGGCGTTTTTGTACCACGTGTAGTTGGCGTCGGGAATGGAAAACGCCTCGCAGATGAAGGTCACATCGCTGTTGTAGTCCTTGATCATATCTTTCAGAGGGATCGTAAACTCGGGTCGCATCTGGATGTTTATGTAGATGCTCTTCTCCAGTGTCTTGCGCGGATTGCTAATGGTACAGCTGTACTCGCCATTGTCGTTGGTTGTCGCGTTCTGAATGATCAGAACGCGCCCGTAGTTGGCCGTGTAGGCATTGCGCTGCAATGGCAAGCCCTTGCGCGTCCAATTGTACGAGGGAATGGGATAGCCGAAGGCCATGCACTCCAGGCGTATTTCACTACCGGCCACTGGTGCCTCCGGGAAGACCTTTGGGAAGGTGTTGGCAAATATCAGAGCCTGGTAGTTGCTGTTGGGCGTGACGCGCAGGGCGAAGAAGGGCCCATTGCGACCCGTGTCCGATACCAGAGTCTGCACCGTGCACGAATAGTTGGCCCTGTCCACAGTCTCGATGAATGAGAAGTAGAGGGCTCCGTCGCGGGAGACAAACACCCGCTGGTCCTCCTCCACAAAGTTCGGGAAATAGTCACGGGCCCAGTAGTAGCGAACGTCTGGGTAGTGCTGTGGCGGGTCGCAGAATATAGACTTTCCCCAGTTCATCTCGCTGGTCTCCGCCGAACGCTTCAGATTAAACTCCATGATGAACCCAAAGTTCAAGTGCGCACTCTCCGACCGGATGCGGCCGAACTTGTTCTCCGCCACGCAGTGGTACGCTCCCTGGTCGAGGGCCTGCTTAGGCGCGTATATGATCAGATTGCCACCCGATATCGTGTAGCGATCCTGAGCCAAGGGATCAATCTTCTGGTACTCCAACGTATCATTCACATACACTTCACGGTACCAGTAGTACGACGGAGTGGGGAAGCCGCCGGCCAGGCAGCTCAGTGTCACATCGTTGATCAGACGATTCTTGTTAACGTCAAAGGTGGTGTCATTCGGCTGCTTGACAAAGTACGGTCCGCGCGGTATGCGCTCTATGTCCCTTATGTCCAGACCATAGTGATATGGACGCTTGTCGTCCAGCTTGATATTGACATTGTCCGGACTGTACAGCACCCGGGACTCGCAGATGAACAGATTCAATTCGATCTCGTAGGCCGGCATAAACATCCACCGATCCCGCTTCTTTGAGTAGGCATAGACGACGCGGTCACGCACATAGCCGTTGTCTCCAAAAGGCTGGTTGGGGCCTGTGGGTAATTCGTAATTGGAATTCGTAGGTAAGAGACATTTACTACATGTTTAAGTGACTTGTTTACTCACCGATGAAGCCACGCAGATTGTTCTGATTTCGTTGGTTAACATTGCCAGGAACTGCATTGTAAAACTGATTGGGATTGTTTAGATTCCGATTCCGGCTGATGAGGTCGTTCTGCACCAGAAATCTGTTGTCGTGCAGATCCTCGTTCTCCCAGGGCTGCTCTTCGTCAAAGGCAAATGAGTCCTCGATCTGCACCAGCTGAGTGTTGTCGTCATTGACCCAATTCTGGGGACCTGTCTGGCGAGCGGAGATGAAGAAGCGATTCTGCCGATGGTTCTGCAATATGAGATTCTTGAGTATGAACGCGTGCTTCTCCAGATTGTCCACGTTGAGCAGATCCGCATTGTAGGCCTTGCAAATCTTCTTCGCCTCCGCCCAATTGCGCTTCGGCGAGCGTATGAAGCGGTAGCACGTTTGCCTAAACGAAACCCAATACTCTGGACAAAAGTTATCTTCGTCGCTGTACATGTCCCGATAGCTGACTCCGCCTGCACCAATACTGTTTCGATTGAAGGGATCGTATTGGGGACCCAGTCCCCCCAAGCCGCCGCCCAGACTGTTCCCAGGTCCGCCTATGTTGCTGCCTCCGAGGCCTCCGATGCCTCCGCCTCCGCCCCCGACTCCGACGCCCATCTGCCGATTGCCATCGTAGTAAGTGTTGTAGCTGTTTGGGTTCTGCTTGTCCAGCAAGGGATTGTCGTATTGCGTGGTATCCGGATTCGATTGCTGCCCCGTGTAAAGCGGATTGTAGCGCGGCGAGTAGTCCTTGTTGTAGCTGGGCTGATATGCCTGGGGCTGCATAGGCGGTCCCTGCTCCTGTTGGCCCTTCGGGAGGTCTCCGGGCAGCTGGGCTGTTGCCAGGAAAAGTAATCGCAGAAACAAGCCGGCCAAAAGGCCGCCTTTCAGTGGCATACTGGCTTGGTTTAGATCAAGTCTAATGTGGGAACTACTTCAGGTGTCGTTTCGCTCCAGACTAGTGGCACATTTTCGTTCGAGATTCGTCTGAGGCTATAAGCAGAAGAATGCAAAATTAAAATCTTGTTTATTTTCACAGCTAGTGCCGTAAACAAACAGCGACGTATAAACAAATCCCCGAACATCGGTCCGTCAGTCGTTTTTTTTTCGTTATTAGGAATCCACTACGTGTCTGTGTGTGTGTGTTCGTGTGATAGGTGTGGTCGTAAGCTTTCGGCTCGTTGAATCAACTTGGAATTACTCTTAATAATCTTTGCGCATATAATACGAGAAATTATTAATTAAACTATTCAAAATGTAAGTATCCAAGTGAAAATACAAAGCTTGGCTGTAGTGGAGCTATGTCTTTGAAGGAGGTGCTCCGCCCATGATGAGTAAACTAAGCTGCGCTTAGTCAAACATCCAAACCACACCTTAATTAAGATTCTTTTCAGCAACAATTAACAGCCCCCTTCAGAGCGTTGAAGCGCTATTCATGGGTTTGATCAATGATACTTTAACGCTCTAAGCTGTTTACACCCACCTGTTGAGTATAACTTTATCACTAAACAACCTTAAACTATAATTCAAAATTAAATAAAAACAAAACTGGGCACAGCAGAAGTGTGACCGCGGACTTATTGATAAAATATAGCGTCCGACCCTCAGAAATATACCAAAATATACCGTCTCATTTTAAAAATATACCGTAAATATACAGACGAGCTCAAGTTCTATTATACATATTTCTCAATTTAGATATTCCGTCGAATATTCCCAGCTATATAGAATATTTAGCCATGCCCATAATAGCTGGTTTATTTTAAATACTTGACTTTGATTGTTTTTTCCCCAATTTTGGATCCTCAACAACGGTATAGCGTCTTGTATGATGAAAATCCGAGCTTAGCCCACTTTAGCCCCTCTATTTAAATACTTCAACTACTTGAGGTAAATGGCGAAAAAGATTAACGATAATAAATTCTTCTTGTAGATTCATGTCATCTTTCATCTGCACTTAAAAATAACCAACCTAACTTTCACCTGAACTGCGCTAAAATGATTGAATTTTTATTATTATGGTCTGCCCAGGACTTCCATTCCAGAAAACATAATTTATGCGATTGATACATCAATTTTCTACAAGATTGGCCAAAAGAGCATGTATCCACTTTTGCATTTGTTCCCAAGGGCCTTAGCTTTTATCATATTCCGAATAAGTATTGGCATGCTCGCGACTAAAGGTTGCTGGCAAGGTATCATTCGCCATTCCGACTTCACGCGCTCATAAAAACTCACCCAATCCTTATACGAATCCCAGCGCCCACACGATATCACCATACACCATCAAGCCTCCCTGGAATTCCGATAGATGGCGCGTCGCCCTCAGCCCTGGGTCACACTATCGCTCAGGTGGGACTGGAACATTTTTAGTACGGAAGGAAACGTAAGGTCTGGAATTTTAAGTCATTGTTGCTGGTCAGCAGGTATCCGCTACGAGTATGGAAATACCGTATTTCATTTATTTTATTGCATATTTTATTTTAACAGTAATTTTCCTTAATTTTAAAAATGTCTGGTAAAAGATAGTATCTTTGAAAACAGTCGAAATACAGCTCCAACATTGCGGTTGAGGTGGTTCGGTAACGATAGGCGATAAATTATCTTGAGAGTGTTGGTAAACGAAAAACAGGCCACACTACCATTCACACAGGGAGACAGATACAATTTTATTTTTCAATTCAAATTCAACGTGTAACAGAAATTTATTGGCTTTGCTTACATTTTTTTTTATACAGACAACATCAATTCTTGAGTATCATTTTGGTTTTCGCATATGGTATATTAACAATGTGGAGTAATATTATAAGTAAAACAAGCTACATACATACAGAAGTAACTTTAAACGCCATGCGAAGAGACGATCCCTTATCTGATCTTTAGGTATATTTGTCAACAAAAAAAGAAAAATGCCTGCTAAATGCACAATGAGTAAATAAATAAAAGTCTTAACCAAGATATTGTCTTCTATAAGCTCGTAGTTGGGCGGCTTACAAGCCCTTGTTGTACCAGACGGTGTCTAGTTCGGGACGTTTCTTCTCAATATTATCGCGCACCTCGGGTTCCAAGCTTGCCACCTTGATGGCAGCCCGCTGTTTGAAGAACGCACAGCCCAGTGGTGTGGCAAATATGAGCACGAAACCGCAGAATAGGGTTTGGATAGGAGCATTCGATTTCGGGTATTTGGCTAGGAAGCCCCTCCTTTCAAGCAAGTTCATGAGCATCGGAGTCAAGGCTTGAAAATAATTAATATGTTAGTTTTTGTAAATCCGTACTTCTCATATTTGAGGCTGGGACTGGACTTACTCATTCCTGGCAGGGCCATGCAGATTCGACTCACTATTACCGCCGATATGCCAACACAAGCGGCCTTCTTGGACACGCCCACCTCGGCGTTCTTCTCATCCAGCAATACGACTCCGTTGCGAATCTCCCTGAAAGTATTTCGAGTGAATTATTATGTCAATTTTTGTCCCAGCTCCACTTACTGCATTCGCATGCAGGGAATGTTTATGCAGTTGGCGGCGGCCACAGCTACGAGAGGCACCATACGACCCACCAGTGGATTCATGTTCTTTACGGCCCGATTGAGAGAGAGCGCCGTGGCCAGTGCTCCGCCGGTGGCCAGGCAGTACGAGGTCAATAGTTGCCTGGGGAGAGAGGCAAACATGCTTAATATGTGGAATCGTACTCACGGCTGATGTACCTACGAGTTGCTGAGGGGCGAAGTACCCGAGCGGTTTGTGTAGTTGACAATGGCGTTGAAGGTTTGATTCATCCACTGCCAGAAGACAACAGCGCCCGTGCTTTTGTAAAAAGCCATCATTCCTAAAAAAGCGATACGTACACCATTACAACACTATTTTATTAATCAAAGCGCGGAAGCAATTTCTGGAATGGTACAATTGAATCACAAAAGTTGATGTCCCACTCACCGCCAGTGATCAGCATGTTCATGGGCATTTGAGCCGACATGCGGCCAATTATGATTTGCTTATCTCCCGTCTCCGGGTGAAAGGCCGAATCATACAGGTACTTTGCTTTCCACACATCCTCAATCGTTCGGCACTCAGTCACCTCCTTGCCGGCTCTGTACTTCAACACGATCTGGCGGGCCTGCTCCAGCTTCGTGTTGGTGGCCAGCACGTTGAGCGGATTGGTAACAAGCAAGAAATGCTTTGCCCTGCCCACATAAGTGCTCTGGTCATATTTGGGCTGGTCAATATCAACACGGGGCAGTGGAGTCATTTTCGAAAAGGCTGCAAATTGGTCCCGCCTATTGAGATTTTGTCAAATTTTAATTAAAACGTACTGCACCTCTGATAAGATATTACTCTAGAACTGAGGTTGGATTCGGGATTGGATTCTGGGGGTCTGCCATAATTAAATTATAAATCGTATGAACTCAATCGGAATACTCGGGCAAACCACTCCTTATCAGAGGCGATGCTTGTGACCCAACGGTTCTGGCCTTATCTCGCTGGTAAACAAGTTTCTGCCGGGGAGCCGTGCGATTCTGTTTTCGAAATACATATACATAGTACATACACATATACTATACGTATATGTGCGCACACCACACACACATCAGCACATGGGTATCTACATCTGTTTCTACATTTGTGTATGCGGTGCTAATATATTGTGATTTTTGAATTTGTTTGTCAGCTGTCAGCACAGCACGGTTGCCATCAACTGTTCGAATAAGCAGAATACAATCTGTTCGTAAACGTTATATAATTCAACTGGGTCTACGACAACATAATCGACAAATCCATAAGCCTTATCAGTGGGGAACAGCCCAGCTCAGCTAGAGAACAGGTTGCAGAATTTACACGCCCGTACGTAGCCGTGTGTGTGCGCGTATAAATTGTATAATCTTTCCACCCGACAGCACTTACACACGCACAGAACTCTCGAACCGTTGCTGCTACCACTTTGACCGTTGAAAAACGAATGAGACACGACGCCGAACAAACCCTCCGCCGGCCAGCTGTCTGTCGTCTGCTTGCTCCAGAAAGCTTTCGTTTGGTTCTTTTGGGGCCTGTGTGTAACGGTTATTTTGGAGCCCACTGTATTTCGGCCTCGCTGACATTGAGAATTCTGGAAAAGGGCGAGAGAGCTTTTCTGCGCACTTTAACAGCGGGACTTTTAAGCTGCCCAAGCTTTTGGACAGCCTGCTGATAGCATTTACTATTCGCCCACCCTCCCCCTTCCATTCCTTGTTCAGATAATTATGATGGAACCGAACGCTTTTGAGCTTTTATACTTTGGACCACAACATAACGTCAAACATAACATAGACATACAGACTGTAATATGTACAAACATATATCTGGTCCAACGAGCAGGTGAGGTGGGTCAGCGGTGGCCGATTAGGCCAAAGGCCTAACCTCCAATTCACCAGCGAATAAGCGGCCATCCCAAAGAAGTTTTAGTTTTCTAGGGAAGTTTTCTTCCATTTTATTCATTTACAGGCCAGACTTAATAGGAAAGGAGCAGGCAGAAATAGGTGCACAGACACTCAGATTGTCACTCATCTCTCTTGATGAATTATAGCATCGTTTCAACTAAAACGAACTACTTCATTCTGCTGGAGTTTACAAAGATACCGCCAGGTCCTAGCCCTCTTTGCCGACCGATCAGATACACATATACATAGATATAGATCCGCACAACATGGTAGCCGAGCTGACCAGAAACATGACAAAGATACTGTACTCTAATGAGAGACATTTAAGAAGTGCCCACCATATGCCCAAGAAGGATTGCAACTTTTATAAGGGAATACGGATAGGATAACTGTTGACCATACGTCTGATTAAGGAAAAAAGGTGCCCAGAACCAGCGGTATCAAGACGACCCGAAACGGACCTACTGTACGTCAGTACCTCATCTCAACGTCCGATTCGGAAACACAGCTCCTTGAGCAATATCCAATATATTTTCAGCCTGTTTAGCGCTATACGAATCCAATACGGAAAGCAGATGTGAATAACCTATTTCGTTATCCTAATTTCGTTTTAAAGGTCAAAGAACATTTGTCTCGTGAAGCGTTTTGTGTATATTTATGCATTTATTTCCGGAATTCATTGTTAGACTAAACATAACATCAACAGTTTTGTATATTAGCAATAGTTTATTATGTTGTTTATTGTTTTGTTAGTGTACATCCCACGAATAAGTGTGGGTTTTGCCCTCTGAAGTTTATTTTTAAACGGGCTTCGTACTCGTAATTAAATTTGATAGGTTCAATATAGTTTTCACAAACAATTATAGTCGTAATTAACACAAATGTCAGATGTAAATATGTAGGTAATAGGTAATATTGTATTGTGTGGTTTTTGTATAGTATATTTTGGTTGTACTCGTAAAAGTGTATCAATTATTGTACATAAATATATATGTATAGTTTGTATGTATGAATGTGGCGTGAGTGTGGCGTGGGTTTTGTCTTAGTGTTTAACTCTTAAGTAAACATGATCCACATCATTACATAATTTTGCTAAATACTCGTATATAGTACTTCGTTTATAGATTGCAATTTGCATTAGATACAATTAAAAGTAACGCGAAATATATAATATTTGATTTGAGTCTGTCAAGGATACATATATGTATGTACTGTACTGTGTGTAGATATCAAATAATTTGAATAGAACACTCGTATAAGTAGATACCTTCATAGTGCGTAACGCTCTGTAACGATCTGTTAAATTGTTGATTTCGCCCTAATAATTGAATCGAACTGCTAATTTAAGTTTGTCATCGAAACAACACTGAAACTATTTGAGTTTACTTCGAGTTTAGGAGCAGTACTGGAATATCATGGAGTACTGGGTGCACGGAGTCAACTGAGAGTGCTGCATGTCCTGTGGAAGCGTACATATAAGGTATTGCAGTTCGAGATTACTCCCCAATGATTACCATCATTAACTTAATATATAGTATGTACAACGTGATCGGAATAACTTCTGGCTTCACTGACTGTCTTTATAGAGTAAGGGAGTCCGGAGGAAGAACATTGTACCTGGGCAATGCCCGTAGTAGCATTTGAGGTGTGACTATGTTTATAGTAGTTATATGTTATACGACATACACTTATGTCTGTCTTTGTGGGGAGTTTCAGCCGGCGATTGTTCGTACGTTTTATGGTTGTATCGTAGTTGTTCCATCTACTGTATTAAGACTACTATCTTTAGCTTATAAGTCGATTCGATTCTGGGAAGTATGGTTCGGCTTCGGCTTCGATAAATCATTGGATTCAGTTACTTGGGTTCCATTTCGGCCCAGCCCAGCATACAACTCAGCTAATGTTTAATTGAAATGATTTGAATTCGATTTCATTACATCTGTAAATTATGTTTTGCCCACGAATGCTGACCCCTTTTCTCTTCTTTTCACATTTATTTATGCCATTTTTCATGGGTTTTTTCTTTCTTGCAGCAATGACGCTGCAATCTTACAATTTCATCAAAGACGTTCGTTGATATTTGATTTGATTTAAAATATTGTAAGGTAGTGATCCTAGGCTGGGGTCAGTCTCAGTCTGCCCAGGGTCACCTACAGTTTATTTGTAAGTTGCTGAGACGTTGAGACTGGGGGGGGGGAGGCGGGTCGTTGGCGCAGGGATCGCCGAGCCGCCGTCAACGACGGGGCCTTAGGGAGAAATTAGGGGGGGGGGGGGGGGGGGGGGGGGGGGGGGAAAAGCGGGCGTTGGGCCGGGCGGCGCGAAACTCACCCGAGACGCTGCACTCCCCGACTTCAGCAGGGTAAAACCCCTGTTGCCAAGGTCGAGGTGGGCCGCGGGTCCGGGGAGGTGAAGGAAAAGGATAAGGGGGGGGGGGGCGGCTCTGTCGAAACGCGTACCACTTCTCACTCCAGCAGGGTAAAACCCTGTTGCCAGAGTCAGAGCGGGAGCGTAGTGACCAAGAACAGTCAGGAAAAAACGGACAGGGAGGGGGTGGAGAGATGACCGCAGTCGGTGGTCCGACCAGAGAAAACAAATGGAAGCCAAAGAGTTCTTAATTATATGATCGAAGTTTTATTGGATTGATTCCCCTTGCACTCCCTTCTACTCCTACTACTACCTTGGCCATCGGCCAGCTCACCCGCGGATCCGGCGCCTGTGTTCCCGCAGCTCGTCCATGCTTTTTAATTCCTCTCTGGCGCGCGGCCGTTCAGCACTTTTCTTTTTTTCTCTTCGATGTCCGCGACGTTCCGTCTTCGCTCGCTTCCAAAAATCGACTCTTCTCTCGCCACGGTCGCTCGACGTTCCCCCCACGCCTCGCGCTCGTTTTCGGGCCAACAGGACTTTTACGAAAGAGATCCGCTCTGCTGCCGGCTGAGCATGGCTCTCTCTCCTCGCTGTCTTCTTTGCGGTTGTTCCGTGTGAGCTGGCCGTTTGGCGGGATTTCGGCTATGCAAAACTTAACTAGCTTATTTATTACCATAGCATATGATTGTGACTAATACAAATCTCGCTCCATTGCGACTTACTATATTTTCAGGTTGTCTTATTATTATTATTATTAACTCTTGTTACTATGTGAGGTTCCCAGTATGGGTCCTCACAATATGAAATAAAAATAATAAACACATCTAGCAAGGAACTAGTTCCACTGTACCAGCTATTAAACGAGTTACAGGGTATAGCCAAAGTCATTTAATTAGCCATAAAAACAGATATATTTATATGTACGGAAAATCTGAGTGCGAATCTAAGCAAACATTCATTCGAGCAATACAACAAAAAGCGTTCGCTTATGATCTGTGCGATGCCATCCAAGAAAATTGTGTAAAATACTAAATATACTAATACTAAATATTACCCTAATTAAAAAACTTAAATTAAATTATTTTCCTTAAAATTGTGTTTTTTTCCTTTTCGATAAGGTCGATAAGGGAAGAGGCACTTGGGAAATTAGTTCAAACCGTTTGCGATGTTGTATGCGGTTGTAAATGCAACCGCCTTGGTTTTTCGGACACCACTTTTCTTCGGTTTCCTTAGGGAAGAGAAGTGTCACTTCCTTGCAAAGCGCCAGGCATACTTTGCGTTCCAATTTCAATTGCAGATTTGTAAAGTAATCAATAATCAAGTCGCATAAAAGAGCCCGTTCCACCTTGTTCATCGTCTTCCTGCTTAGTTTGTGGCACAGCGCTTTGTGATCTGCGCTGCTATTCGAAATCTCCAACACCGACGCATTATCGTCCGGGCCACGTCGTCTCCGAGATTTGGCATCTCAGAGAGTTCGCTTTGACTCGTCTCTTCCATGAGCTGATCTTTTGTCAGAATGAAATCGAGGGAGCGTTGGACTTCCTCTTCATCGGACTTCCGAGCTTGATGATTTACGTTGTTGGCTGTGAGTAGGGACAACAGCGTGGGTGACTGCACCGAAGTCTGGGCACTGCCTCCAGCGGTAGTCGCCATCAGCTGTTGCTCTTGTTTGCCAATGCTGCCCGGCTGCTGGGATGGAATTATGACATGTTCCAGGATGCGAAAACTCGGATTATGGGTCGATTT